CCGCCTCTGTGGGGCGATACAGAGAACGTTGTCGCGAGGGATCCGCCTCGTGCCGTGAGCAGCAGCGGCAACGCACTCTGACGTCCTTCAATATTAGACCACGAACCTTGAGACTTAGTTCTTCACCAAACTTCGAATGTTTTACAATTTGACGAAGCAATATTGTCATCGATTTTGTCAAAAGGATGTGATGCAGTCTATTAAATTTGGACCAAAAATGGATTTTGGGGGTCGCTTGACTTTGCTTATGGTGGCAGTAATAGGAAGTATTCAATACAGACTGGAGATTATTCTAGGATAGATCAAGTCGACTACTTTACCGGATGTGGCGGTCGTCACTCTGCCGTTGCGTGATAGGTCGTCGTGGGGCCAAGTCATACACACGAAAATTTGGAACACTTGGCGACAACGTCGAGTCGGCGGTCGCACACGGTCATGGGGGGCGACCTTGTTGTGCGCCGTTGGAGGGATAGCGAAGATGTAACCTCTAACAACCCAGAGAAGCAGCTTCACTGGTTCCATCCCGCAACTCGAACCACAGCACCCGCTTCGTCTTGGTCCTGAATGCGCCCCCACGACCGTGTCAGCGAGTGGACTAATGTCGCCATTCGCTGCGCAAAAAAACTGCGCCCGGCCACATCCTCGCCCAATAAAACGCCATCGGGGATTGTTCTGGCGAGGCGTTCCAGTTCCCGCAAAGAACGGGAACGCAAATCAACGACCCGCCACCGACATACGACGCCGGTGTGGTCGATCATTCGCGTGCTTCACCAACGCGACCCGTCCACCCCAGCGCCCAGGACCGAAAATGGCGCAATCAACTTGTCGCAGCCACCTGACAGACGGAAAGCCCGCCCGCACACAGAGGCTGGGAAAACCAGCCGAGTCTGTCCACGTTATTGAGGGGATAAGGTCCAGTTGGCCCAGACTACGTGGCCGCCTCTGTGGGGCGATATAGAGAACGTTGTCGCGAGAGATCCGCCTCGTGCCGTGAGCAGCAGCGGCAACGCACTCTGACGTCCTTCAATATTTGGCCAGAAGAGCCTCATCCGGTGCCACGTGGTGCTAAGGTCAAGACGGTGCAGTTCCATTGGGCGAGCAAAACAGCCTGGTCAGGCCAAAACTCAACACGACACCCGAGTGATTTCTGCGATGGCGATGCGTGTGCTGCTTTCCCCGACCGGAACGCCGCCGACGACCGGCATGCGCATACAAACCTTGATCGACGAGATGGAGCAGGCGAAGCGCGCGGTGGAATCAAAGCATGCTCAACCGGCGCCGATATCGCGCGCAACAAAAGACAACCAAAGACCATCTCGAGCGATCGATCGCGACACTGCGCACGAACGTCGCGCGCATGGAAGGGTCATTGGAAGGCATGCGACTCGCGGTCCCGCTCCCGTTGCGAACATTTGAGCCCGAGCGCAACGTCTGCCACGAGTAAACTTTCGCATGTTCCGGCACGGGTTTTGCCCGACTCCGTCCAATACGAACCACCGCGTCCACGTTGACTTTTTGTCGTGCATCATGCGCGAAGACCTCGAGTTCATGGGCGCAATCGGGCGGCGAAAGCTGTTGGAGCAATGGACTGTCTTTATGAACACGTTTGATTCGTTCACGATGGAGCTGCTGCATCACGACGTTGTGGCATTCGCCCCGAATGTCGTCGTCCACGCCGATACGATGCTGCACCTGCGCCTATCGCGCGAATCCGTTCGTGTGCTCGTTCCCGGCGCCCTGGGCCACGAGCCCCTTGTGCAAAAGATGCTTGGAAATGTCCTCGAGCTCCCCCTGCACCTCCGCTTCGTCTTTGACACGAATTGCGTCGTCCACGAGCTTGGCACGTTCGCCAACACAATTGACGCCCTGGTCAAGCTCCTGGGAAACTTCGACGATACGCTTGCTGTTCCAGATATCCCAAGATGGTCAAGTTCCTGCCCGGTAGCGTGCGACACAACCATGCGAGGTGGAGTGTAGGCAGGGTCATGATGTCCACAGCAACGCATTAATGGAGGCTCAATCACGCAAACGTTTGGTGTTCAATCGACCACGAACATCGCAGGCAAGCCGTCGATCCGGGCGACGTGTTCGTGGTCCTGTGGCCAACACACATGCCCGAGCCATACCGCACTCCAAGGAACTCGGAGCTGCAACCATGGCGAAATGTGTGAACACCCCGCGGCGACACGCGCGCAATCAACTTTTCGCGACTTCGGCAACGTGTGCGATGTCGATGGCGGTGTACGTGAGCGCCACACGGTGCCAAACGCGCCAACGTTATGGCTCCAAACGAATGCATGCATTGTGACAACGTCCGCTGTGGGAAACTAACGTATAGGGCGCCGCCAAGCGCGCGCGAGCCATCACCTGCGATGGACATCCAGTGACGATGTTGTCAACGGCCCCCGCATGGAGTGCCGAGGCACCCCATCGCCAATCACATGGCTTCCGGACCTTTTTCCGCCTAGAGAAGATACGTAGTTTGGATGTTGAAGCGACACGAGGGGACAATGGCGCCGCGCGTGAAAACATCGTCGCCCACCACAGCGCAGTGGACGTTGGCGACATTTCCCTCGCGGTGCTTTGCACGGGTGCAAGTGCACATGCTCTCGTGATGTTGGGATGGAGTCGCGAGGTATTCCGATGAAGCCGAGAAACCCAAACGACTGCAGTCCTGACTTCCCTCGCTAAGTCGAACGGCACAAAGTGAATAATCTCTGAAAGTCAATATATAAAGTTGGAAAGGCAATTTAAAAACCTTTATTTTATTTTTATACTAGAAATATTTTAAATAGTTTCGAATTTTGAAACTGGGCTGATTACGTTCGAGCACTGTGCTCGAGTAATCTTTGAATTTTCAGCGATGACGCATGAACACTTCATGAAAGACATGAGCTGTATGAACATCACATGCAGCATCCAACAAAAAAGTATTCTGAGCTCGCTGTGTGGGCGAGAGGAATCATTTAATCTCGCTCGGGTCCCAACTGAATCTGCCACTGGGCTTGCGTTGAAGAGGAGCAGCACGAACGAAAGCAAGCGTGCTGACAACGTCATGCAAAGACGTCAAACGCATTTGTACGATGTACCTCTTGTTGACGCGATGGGGTGGGCAAAGGACGCGTGGCGATCTGTGTCGCAGTCGACCGTTGTCAACTGCTGGAATCGCACTGGGCATTTCGGACAATGACTTGTCCATGTCATGAATTTGAATGGATTGGTTTTCGAAGTCTGTGCAAAAATTTATACCTCTATATTTGGATGTACTGATTTCCCTCCAGCTTTGCAACGGCATCAATTACTTCGAAGTATTCCGTTTTAACGGAACATCCACTTTGTATTATTTGCTACAAACATTGGCAGGCAAGGTACATGCATCTTACTCGACATTCAACAAAGCCACTCGATCAGTTAGAATGCCCGTCCGCTCCAAACAGCTCACAACTGTGGACTGCGCTACAGAGCTTGAATTCCCTCAGTCTTTTTAGAATATTATTTTGTAGAAATCATCGAAATTGCCCCGGTGCTAAGTCGGAGGGAAATCAGTATTGCGATAATTGCATAGTAGAAGGAACCGTTTGACTTTGCGAGGGAAATCAGAACGTCGGTCGTAAGCGGGCTCAGCGACGGTGATGCCTTGCTGCCCCATCGACGGAACGACCCCCACCCCCCCATTGGACCTTGTCCCTCGCCCCTCCCCCCATCTCACTTGACATGATTTACCGCCGCTGCGTTGCTTCCGTCGAATGCGCGTTGCAACGATTGAGCCGATCCGACGGAGGTTGGACACCAGTGGCCGCTGGAGGACCGAGGCACGAATGGATTTGGGCTGCTTCTCGCACCCCTCCCCCCCACCCCCCCTCCTAGCGCTGTACATAGTGCCACGCGACTTGCGTCAGAATAGCCTAGATTCGACTATTTTAACGCACAACAAATCCGCCATTGTCATCGGAGCGTCGCACAGTTGAAAGTTGGCGACTTTGCAATGCGACGTGCCGAGCACAACGCGGTCGCGTTGAATCATGCGTACGTCGCGCAGATGCAGGTGCTTGCGGCCAAGATGGAATGGACCAAGCGTGCGGTGGCCGAGCACAATGCGAGGAAGGCAGCGGCGGTACGTCTGCGAGGCAAACTGAACCAGCGGCGGTACCGCGCGGAACGCGAGCGGACGCTGCGCCGTCTCGAGCACATGATCCACACGTTGCACCTCGAGGTTGCTCGTATGGAAGGACGGGTCGAACTGTACCACGTCGTTGTTCCCGCGATGCTGCGCACGTATGCACCAGAGTTTCAACTCGCGCGAGAAAACTATCGCTTGTTTGCCCACGGGTACTGTGTCGACCCGACGCATGCGCGGCACCAAGCCCAAGTCGGCTACCTGAACAGCGCGATGAGCGAGGACCTCGTCATGATGGGCAGTGTGGGCCGCGACAAATTGTTTGATCAGTGGGCCATGTATATGACAACGTTCGGGTCGATTGCGATGGACCTGCTGACGCTCGATGCAGTGTCTTTCTCGCCCAACGTTGTCATACACGCCCAAGCCGTCATGCACCTGCGGTTGACTCGTGTGTCTATCGAGCTGCTCTTTCCGGTCGTCCGAACGAACGAGCCGCTGGTCCACAAACTCGTTGGGAAGGTGCTGCACTTGCCCATGCAAATGCGCTTTCACTTTGACCGCCACGGTGTCGTGCAAGAGCTCGGAACGCATGCCAGGACGACAGAAGCTCTCGTGGATGTATTGGAAAATGTTGAAGAGGCCGTCGCCGTGCTCGGGGCCATGCAGCTCACGGAAGACGCTGAAATCGTCGCGCCATCAGCCGTGGAGGACAGATGACGAGACACACTATGTCCACACTGACCGCCGCGGTCGGCAATCGTGTCCTTGCATGTTGTTTCGCCTCGCGACGAGCATGCAACCCGTGTAGTCGACGTAATGTACGCATATATTTCGCTAACGCTCCGTTGTTTGGTCGAGCACGAAAATCCACCACGATGTCCAGCAATTGCACAGGAGGTGCATTCCACCACAATGCACCCTTCGTTGACAGCTTGATCCGACGGCGATGCCCCCACCGCCCTACTTGAGGGACACGCCATGTTGCTTGCGCAGAAACGTCGTGGGGAATCTCGCCGTGGCACGCTGCAAGCGCTCCTTGGTCCAAAAACTGCATCGAACGTGTATGGATTGGCTAAAATTCACCTAGAACGAGTGATTTGATTGGCCCTCATGTTTCACCATCGCGATGAAACCACACCATGGTTACGTGAGCTCTCGGTGATCAGCCGAAACTTCGGTGATCGGCCGAAGTGTCTAAGCCAATAGGAAGGACAATCAA